GCTGAAAACTTCTTCGCTGTCTCAAAATCATTTTCTTCTGGGGAATACTCTCAAAAACCTGTGATTAAATGCACTCTACTGCCTAGTTATGGTGATGTCAGAAGTAACACTGGTTGTAGGAGTGAGACAAAATCTGTGGTCCACGAAAAAGTTCAGTTGCTGTTGATTTCTTAGAGGCAGTGAACTCAGATGTTAACAAACATTTGCAAAGGTCATCAAGGTACTACAAAAAATGCTCAGAAGGTGAAGACTGAAGACTATTTCTTTTTAAACAGCTTTTTTTCAAAAACACATTTTAGAACCTGCCTGTATTTCTGTACTTTTTTTCTTCAATTTTGCACTATTCTGACTTTAACTGAGGCATAAAACTACTTATATGCGCAGTCAACTCCCTTCCCATACCTTTAATTTTTTAACATACTATCCGAAGTATTGTTATATGATTTGATAGGCAATGCGTTGATTTGTACTGTTTTTTTTTCTGCTGTGTTACATGAAAATCTGATTATCTACAGACGTCAGTTCCACTACCATAGGGCCTTGGAGTATGATTAGACTTTAAATTTTAGTAGGGTAAGCTACGTGCAAATGAGCTCTTGAATTTACACTTTCTATGTTGGATATGACTAAGTAGAAGAATGAATTGTTTTGAATCACAGAATGCCTTTGTTGTCAGATGCCAGGCCAAGCAGTGGGCTCTGTTACTTTTACAGGACACTAGACTTTTAGGGACATTAATGAGGTCATACTCACACACATAGTAGCACCAAATAAAACTGAAATAGAAGGAAACAGAGGGAGGACAAAATCTGAGCAGTCAGAAACATCAAATTACCTCTCCCTGCCCATTCACAGCTTTCTCGTGACCCCACTGGAGTCAGTGGGAGCTTTGCCAATTAATTTCAATAGGAGGAGAATCTGGGTTGGATTGGGGTTTCCTGATTCTGCCCACAGCAACACAGATGCATACCAGACCACTCTCAGGAAGGGGGAAAAAAACCAGGGCAAATTCACAGTAACTGTGGCAACAGGAGGGACGGTTCTCATTGGTATCATGTACTTTGAAATTCAGTAGCTGCTTTGTGCCATGACGTGTTTCTCCCCTCTGTCAAATTAATGTTTTCTTTCCATGTAGAAGGCCCATCAGGGAAAGAGCACAGCTGAAAATCATCAACACAAACAGCCCCCAGAAGCCTTTTCACATATCCCACCTCACATCTGTCATAATGGCAAAATCATGTTTGCAAACATGAAAAAATTGCCTTAAACATGGTATTTCCCCAAAACACAGAGAATTAATGCAGCCTGTTCTGTGAATGTCTCTCAGTCCGTGTGAGCGACAACTGGTAAAAAAACTACCTTAGCAGAATGCCAAGACCTCTGCTATGGAGAGCAACTGCTAAAGGATGCACAGATTGTCCAACTCTGGTTGCAATTGTTTTCCTTTCTTACCCTTTTTTTCACTAAGGTCCTCACTATTGTAGTCCTTAGACTTGATCATTTCATTAGGACTGTAAACACTGAATGAGACTTAGGGCAAGGTTTGACAGCTTCAGGAAAGCAGCAGAATATAAAAAAGATAAGTCAGTGATGCCCTAAGGACTGTCATAGGCAGTCAAACCTAAAAGGGAAGCAAGTGAATTTCTCTTCCCTTCCACCTTGTGCTCTCTGTTTTACAGGAGGCAGTTCCCATGCTGACAAGCAGGCAGCACTCTCTACAAAGTCAGAAGACAGCAAAACCTGCCTCTGCAGCTGCCAAGGACAGAGAAGAGACTGGAAACATATGTTCTTTGTGTTTGGGAAGCTCCAGTTTAGGTAGACTACCTGGGTCAGGGCCCAGATGGTGTAAACTGCTGAATCTCAGAGCTTAGGTTAGCTGAGACTCTGGTTTAATAAGTATACTTTAATTAAACTTCTGAGCTATTCTGATATTCTTCATTAACTCCTCACAAGCCTCCAAACAACCTCCAGGGGAAAACCAAAGAAGCAAAAACTGATGTGACTTCTTCAAAGTAACCATGTGAGTCACTGTCAGAGTTCAGGCAGGAGCACATCTCCTGAGCATCAGTACAATAGAAATGATGCAAAGGCCACCTCTGAAGTTTACCGAGCTAAGACAGCAGCTTAAGGAGGCCTGAACTGCCCTGTGCATTTCAGTGAATTGTTATCTGAAAGTCTCAGGGCTGATACCTTTAAAGTCAACATTAATTAATCACTGAATGAAGTGTGCTGGAAAGGGGCAGAAACAATCATCTGTGGAGTTCAGGATGTTGTAGGAGAGATGGAAAGCCGTGAGCTTTGGAGAGCACTTGAACGAAAAGCACACTGAAGGTGCATATGAGGCAACTGAGATAAACACAGAAAGATAAGGAAGAGATTGGAATCTTGGTGATGCAATCTTGGACTGCTAGTAGGTGGGATTCAAATGTCTTGGGAGCAATCAAGCCAAAGGGATTCCTGAGGGAATTTACAACTGTGCCATCTGTCCCTTACAGTTGGAGCTCATTTTGTAGATGGCTTTTGGAAGAGAATTAATACTATGTTTCTCCCTCAGATTAACCCTACTGGTGATTGACTGCTGGCATGAATGCCAAAACATTCAACTCAGTAGCTAACACACCAGGAAAACCCACCCCAAACAAAACACCCTGTCACTTACTCACAGTACCTTTCCTGTGGTATTATCTTAAGCTGAAGCCATTAAGGAAAGAGTCTCTATTTCTCAATTTTTCTGACTCAGTGTTCTTTCAACCCAGTTTCTAGCAGATCTATCAAGCCCCAAGAGCAGTACAGCTGCAATGTGACTCAGCTTCAGGACAGCAGACAGGCCTTGTCAGAGCTGGTTAGTAAACTGGTCTGCAGAACCTGAGTGGGTTGAGATGGTTCAGAGACACCCATTAGTTACACAGTCAGAAGAGCCTGTGGTGGGGAGACGAAGTTAAAGCACTGGACAGTACACCAAGGCTAGAAGGAGGATTGGTTTGGCATTCACAGATACAGGCCAGAGGCACTAAGAATGGTGCCTGCTCTGAATGGGGCACATATATCAGAGGAATAGGCAAATAAATTTCACAGTGACCTGTTTGCTTGGTCTCTGCCATTCTCTTGTGCTGAAACTTTTGTTAGCATGACCACTGTCCCCAGAACACGGCCAAAATCAGTCCACAGCCTTCTCCTCTACAAAGGTGTAATTCTAATGCTTAGTGCTAGACACTGCAGACTGCAGATGTTTTTTTCCAAGCCTGGTCTGCATGTAACAAAAATGGATAATGCACCCCTAAGCCACAATGTCACAGAGAACGTGCTGTGTACAAGGGTCTTGTCAACACCACTGCCCTAAGACCTGACACTTGGAACCAACATCATTGTAGACATTGCACTCATTAGTAGCTTGGAAAAGAAATGGGTAATAAGTTAGTTTGCTAATAATAGGTAATTCTATAATTAACAGCCAACCATGAAAGATTCTAGACAGCTCGTAAGATGAAAGGGGACTAATTTTTATAAATCACGCCTTACAAGCCTTGCCTTATTAAACTGAACAGGAAGAACTGAAAGCAAGCTGGAGATGCACTATTTTCCAGTTCTTAATATCACCACCCATAAAAGGAGCTTGTAAGCTCAAATATGGATTGACTGCACTCCACAGCATGTGCAATGAATCTACATCTGACATATCCATGTATTGTATGCCACAGAGCAGCAAATTTTGGCTCTGAATAATAAATTCATTTCTGAATGATTGCTGAGTTTAAATTGTGAAAGTAAGTTATATGACCTATGAAGACAGTAGCATAACAATCAAAATATCCTGATTTGGGGACAGTCTGAGCAAGTTACCACAGTAACTCCTTCAAGTCCAGATACCTAAGTATCATGGGTATAACCTGATATTAACGACCTCACTTTTTTTTTTTTCTGAAAGAATTTAAGTGTTTTGGCAACAATAGTGCTCATTCCCCGAAAGCTCATTAACATCTCATAAAATCTTGCAAAAGCAAGAAAGGCACAACTTTCCCATGTCCAATCTTCCTATTACTAGAATATATGTTTTTCATTGGATCATCCCATGCATTTTGGCAGTTTGGAAGGAAGGAGGATCTCCAGGGAAGTGTTTCTTGTCTTCCCTACCAAAATCAAACTAAGAAAATGCACATTCCTGCAATGAAAGCTGAGTAGAGCCAGAGTCCATTCACTGTGTAAAGGTTCCAAGTCTGACATTTCCCAAGTGCACAACCAGCGATGATAACTGCTAATTGTTTCTGAAGTGTTATGGAGCCTGCACTGGTAAAAGAGAAGGCGGAAGGAGAAGATTCAATAAAAGTAATTCAATGAAGAAAGCAGTGCTTTCTTCAAGCCCTCCCTTCTTCAGGATTTCTAATAAGAAGAGATTGTTGGTGAATTTTCACCTCATACAAACATCTTGTCAATTCCAGAACAGAAGAATAACACCTTTACAAGAAATGTCTGAGAGCTTAAATCCAGCCTGGAAAAAGCAAACACAAATCCACTGATTTCAGTAGAGTTACAGATGGCCCACTTAATGTACAACAGGGTTGATTAGGCCCTTCTCCCACACTGTAGCACTATTTTGCCTCAGAAACCTTTGCTTTCTAAGTACCAACCATTTGTAAACAGCCTGTAGCACTGAACTGCAATTAAATAAAGGAATGGGAAACACACGTATATTTTAAAACATTTCTCAGTAGTGGAATTTAAGAGCAAGTATTGACCCATTTTTCTGTTTAACGTCAGGATCTTATGTCAATATCGCAGGCAAAACACCAAGGATCTGCAGAATCTCAGTTATTGCACACATATTTCTGCTTCCCACGGTTTCCTACGGGCATTAAACTGGAATCATGTATAAGCACAGTGCATGTCTCAGGAAGAACTTGTTCTTCCTTTTAAGCCATCTCAGCACTACAGCAGGTGGGCACAGGCTCTCTTGCTAAAAGCACAGAGAGAGAGAGAGAAAGAGAGAGAAGAAAGTTGCTTACTGTTTCGAGGCTTCTCCTCATCCATGCCTTCATCTTCATTTTCTGGATCAATATCTTCTGCTTGAGTTATCCAGTCCAAGTATCCCTTCAAATCCTCCTCTAGCTGTTGTTTTTCCCGTAACTTCTGGAAGTCGCCTCGAGCCTTAGCCTTCTCTCTTTCTTTGGAAAACTCCCTAGCAAGAGGGAGGGAGGGAGGGGACATGGGTGGAGGGAAGGCAGACATGGAAAAACAATGGGTTAGATTGATTTCCACTAGGAAGTCTCCTCAGCCTGTGTAGCACACCCAGCTTTCTCTAGCCTTTTAAGATAGACACATGAATGGACCGTCCCTTCTAGATACACATGTAAAACAGCTGGAGTGTCCACATTTCTACCAATACTTAGGAAAAGATTAATACCTGGTTTTAATCCTTTAATTCTCAACGTTTGACTGACTATTCAAACAAAACACATAGGTAACATTTCTGTGCAATTTTCTGTACAGTGTCATACACTTTCTAATATTCTGTACCACTTGATATTCCCTAACAGTTACCCACAAATATCTATACGGATAATGGTTAATGATGAACTGTTTGACAATAATCTGACATCTGGAGAGTGAGATGGTGGCTTTAATTTTTAGCCAGGTTTCAATCTGTCTTTAAAATTATATGTGTGATCACAACTAAATTGGGTTAAGTGTAATTAATGGTACTCACAATTTTGTACACATTTAATTATGGTCAATTTCACACACAGTGCTGGAAAATATATTTAAAAACTCAGACCTCAATGTTTTACTGCAGATTTTCAGTATTCAAGCCTGTTATCTGACACAAAATGTATTTTTCAAATACAAGTTGTGTGAACAAACACAAATTATGGGTAGAAACATAAATTAAGGGTAGAAAAAACTAATAGATTCTGCCAGAAAGTGAAAAGAGTAGACATTTGATGGCAGTTTTATGAAAGAACCCTATTGGGAATATAGACTGAAAACAGAGGGCTTAAGAACAAGAATTTCATGTTGCTTAGTTATGATCCTGAACGCTTTGCCTTCTTTTTGGCTTTGGTTCTGTCTTCCCCTCTTTCAGAGACACCTATACAGCAATATTTTTTTTCAGGAAATGCTGACCTACCTCTATTTACAGACTCTCATGTGGTTCTAAACCAGGTTTTAGCACTTGTATTTCAAAAAGTAAGCTTAATGATTGTGAAAATTGCTGGACCAAGAGTACCTAAGCATTAAGGCTCATATCTGCTGAAGCAGATCCCTACATAAGACACACACAGCAGATAATACAGTCCATTCTGTAATGGTAAAGCCATTCTCTCCAATTCATTCTCTATTACTGTTGCTGATGAAAGTCAACAAGGAGTGGATTTTTAAAAAAAATCCTAGTCCACCTAGGATTTGCTTAATTTTTGCTCCTGCAAAAATAAATAGGAAACCTAACACCAATTTTGGTGGCATAATATGAGGATTCTGAAAATCCTATCCCAAATGTGAATGAATGCCATGTGACTGCTCTATAGGTAGTTGAGATGGAGGTTGGTTTCTGACAGTGATGGTGAAGTATTTTCCTCCTGTCTGGTCCAAAACTCACTCAAAGATTTCTGTGGACTTCAATAGGTTTTGGATCAGGCTTTCAATCATATGAGCTGTGCAAAAACCAGCACTCTAGCAGAATCAAAGTAGGATGGTCCCTTAATTTCAAGCCAAAGTATCTGACAAAGCATGTGCCTTTGTCACATTGCTGAGGGTTTAGTCCCTCCCCTGGGGCTGTGATAATGAAGGTGGAAATGAGTAAGAGAAACACTGAAGGGAGATCACAGTCAACCCTGGCTCCAAACTCAGCCTCAAGGCATGGAAAAAATGAAAAAAATGAAATTTTGTCATACTGGGAGTGATATTTTGCTATTTACAATGTAAAACAAATAATCCCCCAATAATAATAATAATAAAAACTGTACAAAGAATTTTTGAAAAATCAATCAATAGTAGTTATATTTTCTGCTTCAATAACACCTTTCCACCGGGTCTGATACAGTGCCTTATCCAAATTAATGAATTAACTATGAAAAAAATAATCACTGAATGAATCTATGAATTATTAAGCCTGTTTGATAAATCAAATTTCAATTGTTAGCTCCAAAACTGTTATTTTAGAATCTAAAACAAATGGGTCCAATTTTTAAACAGACTGAGCCCTGAACTTCAAGTGAGAACTATTTATATTTATATGGATATAAACTGAAAGGGGCGGTTTTGGAAACCAAAGTGGCAAAAATTACTAAACAGCCCAGCTTTCAGAAGTGAAATTCCTACTGTGCACTGAAGTGGATCATTTATGTCCAGTGTCTCTAAGCTGTATGTCTGCTCGGGTCCTTTCAGTCCACACTTACTGTCCCCCTCAGTGGGGTTGTGGGGGAGACTAAAGCAGTGTGAGATTTTAACAGGATGTCTTTACAGTAACCATCAGCAGAGGAGTGAATTTTAACTAGAGTTTTACAGTGGGAAACACTGCGATTGCCTCATCTAAACAATGTGCGATTGCATGTCTCCTTCCTTTGTACAATGTATGATACTCCACATCTCAGATGACTCTCCAAAGAAGACAATCTATTTAAATTGTCTTCATTTCTATGCTCTACTAACATTAGACCATTGGGAACAGGTGGCTCAGGAAATTGCTACGGCAATTCAAACCACCTCCCATGTGGAACACCAGCCTGTACTTGGGCAAATGTAGTTCACCATCATGAATTGCTATGAATGATCATTTACCATCCCATGTGAAATGAGCTGGTGAACTCAGTCCGGTGCCTGTTGCAGGCAGGTGGGCACATTTCTTCTGACACCATCACAGCTCACAATAAAGGGCCATTGTTTGCAGTTTCAGCAGGGAGGCCAAGGACCAAACAAGCTTTCTGATGGAAATGCCATCTTGAGTCTGGAGGTGGTCTTCTCAAAAAAGACTGCACTATCGTGTCAGGGTAAGGTTAACAAAGGTTTGCAGAACTATCAAGCAATCTGTCCATTTTCAGTGAGCCCAAGAACATCAGTATAAGAGTTGGTGAGCTCTGGTTGTTTTCACAAGAATTCAGTTTCCTTCACTTTCCTTTACTTTTCCCAGAAAATTATAAGATTTGTCTGCCAATGGGAATACAAAATAGCAGAGTATTCTGGAGAGATATTTTTTGTCTGTGAGGCTACAGTGGATCAAAATCCATAAATATAAACACCCAGCTCTGCATCCTGTGCTGTATCAGAAGAAAACTTTTCTTTCCCACCCTGATGATGAAATACAGGTAACTCTTGCCTATATCTGATCTCAAGATGACTTTTCACATGTAGAGGAAACGGAAAGTGAGAAAACCAGCAGGATTCTAGCACTTCAAAGCTCTTGTTTACTACTAAAACTGGAGCACAAGCCTTCAAATCTCATCCATCCTAGGAATGGGAAGAGTTGGAAGAGGGGACAGAAGACTGCAAAAAATTCCTGAAAGGTCACAAAAACTGCTCAGGGAGGAGTTACAACCATAGCCAGCCTCCCATTTGCTCCGACTTCTTTCCTGGTAGTAAAATCATCACAAGCAGTCAACTGGGTTTTGCAGGATCCTCTCAAAGTAGAAAAAAACGGCTGTTTCTCCTGCCCTCCATTTGCTTTAGGCAACTGCTTGTTTGGCCTGTGTCCTGGGATTTGGTTCACTGTTAGTCAAAATATAAAGGGAATGTGAATCTATGTGCTTCAGCGTGCATGTCTGAAGGTTGAACCCACACTGCCAGTATTTTTCCTCACTAATTAACTGAAACAGGTAACACAGATGTGAAAATCTCTGATCTCAAGCAAATTCTAATCACTGCTCACAGCAATGATGTGGAATTGTTTTGCCTGGGCTTGAGGAAGTCTTCTGTGTGATCTGCTGACTGGATATTTTCTTTGGAATAGATGAATTTTATATTGTGCTCAGTCAAGACAGGAAGAGATTACAACTCTCTATATAAATACTCTGACACGCTATTCAGCTTATCACGAGACTAGTAAATTCACCAGGACCATGAATGGTTGATGTACCTGAGGAAAAACAAATTACAGATGAGTTCTTTAGGCAGAGCAGAACCCAGCATTTGATTTTGCAGGTGCAATCAAGATGTCTTTGTGAGTACAATTAATTACACTTATGTATTCAGAAGTGATTAAAAAAAACCCCTAAGCTAATCTGTCATTGACAAAGTCTACCTACACAACATGCTTGCTCAAGTTCCTGAAATAGATAAATGGGAAGAAATCAGAGAGGCCCAGAATGGATATTTAAAGATAAGCAGGAATGCTGCTTTGTATCTACATAGGACAGACAGGTGGATCATCTACACAGATCAGGCTAATAGCAATACTCTAGGTAAAAAAAAAAAAAAAAAGCTGAATTTGCGAAGTGAAGACACTTTGTAACTCAGCAGAATTTAGAACTGCTTTAGAAAGTTAATTGTTTAAGAACTGCTTATTTAGCCCAAAGAAAATTTGGAACATTTCTCCCATAATTTCTGTGTTTTTTCATGGTTGCAAATTCTTAAGTTTCTTTTTACTTTTCTCCAGTTGGGGAAATTTTTGCAGAAACGGTGCAGCTGTCATAACACTGTGAAGACAGCCAGAAAGAGTGACTCACAGCTTAAACAAGGTGAACTTCATCTTCGATTTCAGTTCCCTCTACAGACTGTTTCCATCTCTTACCACTAAGCTGTGGTGTTCTAGCTGCAGTATGTCAGCAGGCAGAAGATTTAGGCCCCAAAACACTTCCTTGAGTTAACAATGAAAGGGAGAGGAAATTCAATTTTTAATTATATAGAGATAAAAATCCAGGTAAATTGAATCAGCAGTGCTTCAACAGTGTGCACTCCTCACGGCTGGGCTCACCAGCACTGTTTATCTAGTCAGATACCATATAATCTTTAATAACTGTCCTATATGGTCCTGGAGGGCATCTCTTATAGACCAGATCACTTTCCCTCTGTCAGCTGGTCATCATCCTCCACTACTGCTGATATCCTTACCTGCTGGTCAGAGTACCCACCTGGAGAAAGGAGGAGCATATGATTTATAATTGTACCCTGAGTATCACTCTCCAGATATCCAAACACAGACTATTGCCTGACACTTCATTACTGGGGATTTTTTCCCCCACTCCCATTACTGCTTGGAAACCCTTCTTTTTGCAGCAGCTATCTTAGCAGCACATCTCCTCCAGTGGAGTAATGAAGATTGTAATAATACCTCCTGCAGAACTTCTGTTACCTGTCTCTTTGCCAGATGGCCAGTGGTGGATCTTTTTCTCTGGTCCCTCTACTGCCCTTTCTGTGTTGTTGGCCCAAGTACTGAGGACACAATTTCTGTGAGGCATCAAGTCCTCTCTCCTGTTCAGAGATAATTTTCCCTCTCTTATTACCACAAGACTTCAGGGCTGCCCACTCAGGCGACAGGTACAGTCCCTGAGCAAATTCATTCAGAGCTCATCAAAGGAGGTAATAAGTTAGAACCAAAGCAAAAGAGGATGCATTGGAGTCCTCATGCCATATTTATCCACGTACATAGAATGGCTGTGATCACCCAGTCATGCCCAAATATGGAATCAGAAGCCTAATCCTAGGAGATCTTTTTTTTTAGAATCTTGCGAGGAATGTTTGCTGGCTTGATTCCTCTAATTATGTGGCTCCCCAGGGCAGTAAAGTTTTTCACTACTGGGGACAATATCCATTGTTTTTAATCAGAGCTCCTAAAATGACATTTTGCAGTGAGGGTTATACTGCAGAACTGAAATACAGAAAAATGTCTGCATGTCTTAAGAATGCTTAAGCACTAGAGGGACTTCTCTTGCTTCTCTGTTCATCCTTAGGAAAGGCCAGAGGGAAATGATCTTTTCTCTCTGCACCATGCCAGGCTTGTAATCTGCACAATAGAGAAGATGGGCTTACTGAAGAGGAAACGTGCCCAAGACTCTCTCCAGGGAAAATAGTCTCCTGTTAGGCTGTGTGTTACTTACATTAAGCAATGTGAAAATTTCTCCTGTGAGAAGACAGAATTTGGCAGGAGTCTCATCCTACACATGTGGAAGGATTTGTCTCGTGCTCTCATTCTTCCTTCAATCCTATTGACTCTTCCAGAAATTTTACTACAATCCCCTTCTTCTATGGCAAATGGATTGCTTTACCCACAGGAGAACATAGTGCTGTCCTCTTCCCACAGAGCACAGGTAGAGGAACTTGTTACAGGCAAAGAATTGTCTTATATGCCTTGGATTTACTCAAAAGACTCGCTCTATGATATTAGGAATGCCATATTTTGCTATTGGCACAGCGATAGCATAGGCCTTCTCTTAAGGTTTTTGAGATCAACCCGCCACTGACTGTTGTTTTGGAAACCAGAGAGTAGGAATAGAAATACAAATTTTAAAAAATAAACAATAATAAAACATTTTCCTGGTACTGCTTACCCGCTAAGTACACCGAGAACCAAGTTAAGTACAAAAAATGACCCTATGATGATTAGTGTAACAAAATAGATCCAGGGCCAGTCCCTTCCTATGGCATCATTGACCTGGAAGAGTGGAATGATAATTAGTGAGACAAGCTCAGATTCTGAGCACTGCAAGGCTCCAGCCAAAGAGATCCCAAGTCACCAGCAGTAAGATTTTTCAATAGCCAGTTTTCTAAAAATTTATGACAGGTTGACAATAGTGATTTTGAGTGCCCTGAGGTTGAATTTCTTTGTCAGAGAATAACACTGCTTTTGTTACCTGTATTGTTATTTACAATATTTGAACATTTTGTCAAAGTATTTCAGAGCTGATGTGAAGCTTCCTTGAATTCAGATTTTTAATCCCTCTGAAAGTATCCTGGTGACAGGGAAGAACCCTTATTATGGAGTCTTGCCCTGTAGCATTGGAAAAAGGACACCAAAACTGTCAGCTTACCCGCTCAACACACCAAGAACCAGATTTAGAACGAAAAAGGATCCAAAGATGACCAGACTGACAAAATACACCCATGGTAACTCATAGCCCATAGCGTCCTGCATCTGGAAAGATGAAGGAAAGTTAGAAGACAGAGAGGGAAAGCAGAAATGATTAGGCAAAGGAACAGATGGAAAGGTTTGTAAACAGAGCCTGTGGTTGGTTTACACATAATCATAGCAAGTGTTTTTGTCTGTTCTTTCTTATGTGACTGCTCCTTTGATTGTTCTTTTGATCTGTTTCCTTACAGTCATTGATTAATACAGGCTAAGATATGAGACTAAGTGCCTACTGGCACTTCTTTAGATGCTCGAAGTTGTGGACTGTTACGTTTTGGAGTTTACTTACAGCACCACAAAAGGTCCACCTCATGACCTCTAAACTTCTATTCCCTACACATACACACGACCCTCTGCTGCCAGTGAAAATATTGCTGCTTTTTGCTAAGCGTTGCCAGATCACGTTCACTTCCTATGTGTAGCACAAGTACAGGTACCTCAGAGAGGAGCATGTGGGAACTGTGGCCAAATACTGATCTGTCCCTGGCAATGCTCTAGTAATTTTCCCAGTTTACCACACTGAGGGCAGCAGCTTTATATTTGAGGAAAGTTGTTTCAAGGCCCAGTGTGGTCAAGTGTTTTCTAAAGTTTCCTCACAAACGTCGTTTCTCTGCTTGAAGGATGAATCGCTTATGAAAACGTGATTCCTATGCAACGGAATAGCAAGAGAATTTGAGACTGTAAACTAAATGATCTCACACTACTGCAGGCATCTGCAAACAAAGCAGGTAGACTATTGTTTTAGCACCAGAACCTGTATTATGTGTGGTTTAACTCTAGCACATAATAAGATTTTGCATATATTCTAAAAGCATCTAGTACATAAACACTATTTTATCTTGAAGTCTCCTTTAAAGTTCAAAATTTTGAAAGTTGCTGGATACCTTAATAGAATCTCACTTTCATGATGGTATCAAAAATACCAGAGTCTCTTCTTTACTGTTCATAAACACTTATCGTTGGAGCCAGACGTAGCATCATTAAAGAAACAGATGGTGTTTAACATTTTCAGGAGCACTAAATTGATTTATGAACATAAATTGCAGACTTGAAAGTACCTAACGGCGTAAAGCAACCTACGTTCCTTTGTTTTCCACCCTTTTGAAAATTTTATTGTATGTTGTCTTCTCTTTCCAGGAAAATGCTTTTTCCTTTGGAACCTAAATGCTTGCTGGGATCACAGAAAAAATATTCTTCCATGTATGGGCACTGAGACACACTTCAGGAAAAGGGATCTGATTCAAGATTTGTAACAACTCAGAAAATGAATTTCAAACCTTCACTAAGGCAAGGCAGGAGAGAACACTAATATAATCAGTTCTTTGTGGATGGAAGTCTATTATCCATTTTTCTTCCAAAGCAGAGTCACTAAAGTCCTTGTCTGGCAATAGTCCACAGTCAATGGGCCGATCCAGAACTCCATCTCAAGGCTCCTTCAGCTGTGACTGAACTGAAGTAGACTCATTAAAAAATAAGTTCGAAATCTCCCTCTGTGAAAACAGTTCACCAGCTCCTTCCTCACAGGATGAATACATCTGGTGGTCAGAAGAGAGTACCTGAACCTCTAACATCCCCTAACTGTATTAAACAGCTTGCCTTTTCTAGTTTTGTAGAATTATTCAGTTACTTTATAAATCACACCGATTATTCTTTATGGTTGCAAGCCACATTTCATCCCACACGACCAAAAAGTAGACACCTCTGGTGTATACTACACATCAGTGCTTTAATAAGAACAAAACATCATGCTGTATAAAGATGGAAGGAAACATTCACCTGAGATCCCAATGGGGAAATCAGGCAGGCAAAATGTAACTGCCCAAGCTGGAATTAAGTAAAGGAATGAGACTTAACAGCCTCCCTCTTCTACAGAGAACGTCACTATCTATATAAAACGATCCGCACAAACAATGAGTATGGATGACTTTCAAAAACTGCCATAAGAATTTACCACTGTGGGCACACTGATGACTTGACATCCCTCTAATTATGATAGATGGTGATAAAAAAAGCCTGAGCTGTATGGTATTTATCTATCAACAGTTTGGGTAGGTTTTTTTGTCATCTGGGAAAGTCAGCTGGAAAAGCAGAACTTCTCAAAACTGTGGTACAAGTGAATCCTAAGCAGCAAAGGCCAGGGTGCCAGGTACAGAGTTCAGGGGCGTGTCAGGGTACTCAGAGAAGTACAAAGCTTCCCTGGAATGAAGAGATTTCCAGATGGCAAGAAGCTTCCACCATGGCCTGGTAAAGTCTATAACTGGAATATAGTGTACTCTGGCTATTCCCAATGCCCACACAATTGCATAACGATCGTACCAGCTTGCATCAGCACAAATTAGTCCCGAAAAACAGACCTGCATTCTGGTACAGCAGAGCATTTGGGACTTCCTGGACTGAAAATTTCAGAAGTCAGCTTTTCATCTCCTTTTTATTGCACAGTGATATAACGTATCAGAGAAGCTGAGGGGCAGAGACAGCTTCTCAAGCATAGAGAAACCATCAGTATCTGGCAAACAGCTGAGTTCATCTCTCTGTTGCTGGACTTGCCTATGTTTGGTGCTTTCACCCCTCATTTTCTTTAGCAGCAAGCAAGACTATTCCATACATCGTGGGACGGACCCACAGGTGACATATTCCAGGAATATATGTTAGATATTGATATAACATTAGGTATTTGGTAAATTGTGTTAAAAACTCCCTGTAATAAGGAAACAGTACATTGTGAACTTGATACTTGCTCCTGAAAAACATCTGCAGGAGAAATGCAGAGAAATAGGTTGTTTGACAAAAGTGGAAGTTGGGGGGGAGGGTGGAAAGAAAAGTAATAGACTTACTTAAAACAGCAGCAGCTAAGTACCAATATTTAAGAAACATTAAATTCCTGGCTAAGACTGTATCTTCTAAATATCTGAAAATGCTTCCTCCAAAATGGAAGTATCCTATCCAGGACGGACAGTCCTCAATGATAACTGCATGGGAGCATTGTTCAGGAAGAGCCGTGCACTGGTGTTCCAGTGAAGCTGTTTCCTGGAAGCTTACAATCATTCTGCAGATCTGCAGCTATTAATCATGCATGTTTGCATACACACACGTCCTGCTGGTTACAGCTGTAGCCTTTCACTGCAGGCCTAACTTAGGTGGCAGAGCCGATTTCTCCTCATTATGCTATTGAAGTGGAGAAGATGCAAAGGGTCACAGCAAGACCAGGAGTGTTACCATTTGCACACTACTGAGGGCAGAAAAGGAGGTGTGCAAGACAGATTTTGCACTGTTGCCTCCAGTGAAGAGGAAATGGTTCAGTTATAGGTTACCTCTCCAGGACGGACAACTACTGATACACAGTTCAGTTTTCTGGTCACTGAGTGCACCACTTCTCCCTGAGTATTCACTACTAACCCTATGAATCTCAACAAAAAAGTGGATCATCTTCTAAATTCACAGTTCTGAATATAGACCATCAGCCAGTATAGGTCTGAATGATAATATTCCAGCTCCAGTAGTCAATGTGATTGCAACCTGATGCCAACTTAAGCATGTATTGAACAATTCTTACGTCAGCTGGAAGCACAGGATCAGTGAGAATCTGCAGATTGTCATTTATAGAAGTAATTCTGCTTTCTGAGTCAAACTGCCTGACCGTTCATAGCTCACATCTCAACACTCACATGTCACTACTCTCAACAGCGAGGAAGTTGGCACATATTAGAGCATATTAGTGCATCATCTCTCACAGACCTCAGGGATAAAGAGATAAAGATTCCTTCTCATGACTTGCTGCATACCCTCTCCAGCGCTGTGGGGGCATCATTTGGCTCACTATGCTTCAGATTTCAAATCTGCAAAGTGGAATACTACCTTGCTTCACTGGGCACTGTCAAAGAAACCACTCAGCATCATGATGAAAAGATGGGATATCTGAGCATATTTGAGGTCTGTTGGACCTTGTGTACTGCAGAAGAGCTCTTTCTTCACCAGGCATCCTTAATTGCTATCATGCCTATGGCATTTCAACAAAGGCTTTTTTCCCAATGGTACAGGTAATTGCTTAGAAATAACAGTAGGATTTTTAATTCTGTAGTTTGCTCATCACAATGACTACCAGCAGTTTCAGGAGGGGCCAAGGAATAAAAATCTATTTATCTCTATAAATAGACCTTTGTGCCTATGTCTTCCAGTTCTTCAGAAGACATGGGTGAAGACACACTAGTAAGGCCACGGGAGATGTGCATGCATTACTTGCTTAGCGATTTTTTTTCTTTCCCAGGGATAATAGTCTGGCACATTTTGCAAGTATCTCATTCCTCATACAGGCAACATGGTTCAAAGACAATGCTACAGGCATATTACCTATTAACATAGTGGCTGAGCATGACCAAGCACATAGTGGAGGGCTTTCAGTCACTTAATGGGAGGGGCAGACACAATTCACTCCATTCTGCTGACTTTACAAGACACACACTCACACCCTGACACTTTGTGGCAAATGTCTTTTAAAAATAACGTGGAGCTACAGGAAAAGTGCAATCCATCATAGAAGGGCAGCTGTCACTGGAAAATAGCAAGCTGAAGACAAAAAATTCAACGTCTTGTTCAGTGCACAGCACTGGAGAGCTGCAGCTTAACAGGAAGTGAGTTTGTTAGGATACCTGGGTCAGGCTTCTTTTTCTTGAATAAATTGCTAATTGATTTCTAACGACTGTAGGGTGTTATGATAACCTTTTCCAAACACAAGTGCTACAAGTATTTTATAATGAAGGGTAGTGTTCTGCAATGAAGTGTATAACCTTTCACAGAGTAACATTCATCAAGAGGACCAGAGTATTCCATAAAATTAAAGGGTAGTAACTTAGGAAATTTTGTGTAGAAATGCTGTTTTATGTAGCCTACCTGTGGAATTCACTGCCTCAGGAAATAATCTAGCCAAAAGTAATGATCATGGCCAGTAGCAAGATCTCTGGTTGAAACCAAGGATGTCTTGTAACTATCTAAAATTGAAGAAATTAGGA